AGAACTGCGGTCAGCTGAAGTAGCCTGCAGTGCTGCATTTAACCACTGCGCCACCTCGGCTCTTATGTGTCAAAATAAATGAACTTCATGAGAAATTTATAATTACCCTTTCCAGTGTTCTAATACATTCTAGATTTTTTAAACAATAGCTTGGATATGCCTGTATCAAAACTGCCACATGTGCTAAGTCATTTGTTGTACCAGCATGATAGGACAGTTTGTTGCATTGAAAACACATAGAAAGGACAGCCTCTTTAGAATATAAACATATAGCTCACTTGTCATGAAGTTGCATTTTTGTCAGTGTTAGTATCTGCTAAACATTTCTACACTTCTTAATACTTTCAAAGCTCTTTAAGCTTGAAGTGCAGACCAAATTCAACCCAAGAATGCATTTCGTTATGCATATTTAATTACTTCATTATTCTTTAGTTATTTATGACAAGTCATATATTCTTATACATATAGTAGAACGAATGCTTCTGACCTCGACCAAATTGTAAGCGCCAAATTTCCTGTTTGTTTACAAACAACAGTGACCCACAAGTGGCTGCTGCATTAATTTTGGTTAGGTTCAGGTCCCGACCAAATTGGCTTGCGACCAAAGTTATGGAATGAATTATGGTGGTGACCAGAGATTACAGAGGTACTGTTATCTTTCTTCAAAAATCTTTAAAAATGGAAATAAATGCTTCTACAGAAACAATAACTAATTTCATACATACAAAATAATAATTAACTGAAGAGCAGCAGTGTAAAACTTTTATTCGATCTATTGAAAGTATTTAGTAACATTAGATGACATAACATTATTGTTATGCTGCTGCTGTTTACACATTTTTAAAAAAATATTGTTCAGCTGTTTTTCCAGATAGTTGAAACACAATTCCTTTTCTAGAGAGCACAAAGAAACATTGCCTATGCACTGTTTGAAAACAGTGTATGAAACCTAAAATAAAAAGTCGTCTCTGATTTCTAAAAAAGGAAAATAAAATTTGCTTGTCTTTTTTTTAATACATAGTGGGTAAATGAGTAGGTTGACTCTTCAAAGGAATCTCAAGATGTTCCCTACATTGGATGAAGTCACTAAATTATTTGTATGTGGGATTTTTTAAAGAGATAGCATGCAAATTTGACTTTATACAGCTGTAGCCGCAGATCAATAAATTATACGGACTTTCAATTAAAATCTTATGCATAAAAAGCAGCATTCAAAAAGCTGGCGTTATTTAATTAAAATGACATCTTAAAAGTTTATAAAGTTTAGACAAATTATTAAATGAGAAAAAGCGAAAATGTTCAGTAGCATCATCCATGATAACTGGTTTTGCTTTTTCCCTTCCCCAAAACACATAAAAATATACTTATTTTGTCACATCTGCTACTGCCTACTCAATCTTTTGTAGATACTCTGCCTACTCTACCTTTTATATGAATTATTTGGGGCACATCAGGATTAGGATTTATTTCATTTATATGCCGCCCCTTTCCCCGAAGGGGACTCAGGGCAGCTCACAATTTAGTCAGGGAGAGGGGTACAGACAGGAGATAAAAAGACAAACAAAGAATACACAATTTAAAAACACACAACAACCATACCATTCGAGAAGGGGGGCAAAAACTCTTTAGC